CCTGTCACAGACAGAGCAGGGCCGATCAGGGGGTTGGGGCACCTTCCCCTGTCACACACAGAGCAGGGCCGATCAGGGGGTTGGGGAGCTTCCCCCTATCAGGCACAGAGCAGGGCTGATCAGGGGGTTGGGGCACCTTCCCCTGTCACGAACAGAACAGGGCAGATAGGGAGGTTGTGGCCCCGCCCCCTGTCACACACAGAGCTGCAGGGCGATCAGGGGGTTTGGGCACTGCCCCCCATCACGCTGATCCTGGTGCCGGGAGGCTCGCGGCTCTGCTGATCCCGGTGCTGGGAGGCATATTACCCTTTTACTATATAGAATAGAGGCCTGGTGCATGGGTGAGGGCAGGCTGGTTTGCCCTGAAGGGTGTCCTGGATCCGGGTGGGGGTCCCACTGGGGTGCTTGGCCAGTCTGGGTGAGGGGCTGAGGGCCATTTTCAGGCTGGCGGGTGACTGAAGCTCCCAACCTGTCCTTTTTTTCTTTTTCTTTTTTTATTCTGGGCCAGCTTTAGCTCTGAGGCTTAGCTGCTGAAAGCAGGTTTCTGGCCTTTGTTTAACTTCTGTATTTGATACAATGTTGCGGTCCGGCTGGCTGAAGCCTGGCTGACTAACGCAGGTTTCTGGGGTTTTGTTTAGCTTCTATATTTGCAACATAGTTGCTTAGAGTTGCAGCTGAGAGGCCAGCAAGTCAGGCAGGGAACGTTGGAGTCCGCAGTCACTGGAGCAAGCAAGCCTCTCTGTTCACTTCAGTGCATGGCTGCCGGCCGCCATCTTGGCTGGCAGTTAATTTGCATATCGCCCTTATTAGCCAATGGGAAGGGTAGCGGATGTAAGGCTAATTACCATGTTTCTCTTTTATTAGATAGGATATTTAAATGCCATTTAACAAAGAAAAATCAACCAAAAAAAAAAAGTTTCTTGTCAGAGGTGTCATAGGTTCGCCATCACTGCTATAGGGCCTAGTGGCTCAGCCTCCTCATTCACTTAAGCTGAGAGCTCTAGATGTACCCCTTTGTGGACTGTGAGCACAGTCTTGTTTTAGTTGAGCCTTGATTGCTGTTGGTGTCACTGGGAGGAATTGACCTCAAGGCCAACTGGCTGTGAGGACCAGCTGTCACTACAGTGGGAGAGCTGCTGTGTAGGAGACACCCCTATGGAGCAGGACTTGCTTCAGTGGAGCTTTGGTGCTCACTGAGTCTGCCTCTTGAGTGTCACTTATGGATGTGTAGAGTTTTAATCTGGTATGGTCTGACACTAACCACTGGGTACACTGGCTTTTGGGTCTCTAGGGAAGTGCAAAGTCAGCCACTGCCTGGGGCCACCCATCAGGAGCTACAGAGAGATCTGCAGATTCCTCTTCGTTGTATCAGGTTTGGAAATGCCCAGGTGAGGCCCAGCTGTAAAGCAAGGCAAGATGCTGCTGGTGTGGGATCTTGGACCTTTTATTGATAGGTTTGGGGCTTCGTGACCCAGCTGCAGTTTGTTTGAGAGATTATAGCCTGAGTAAGAACATGCCATTTATATGCAAAAGCCACTGCACACAATTTATGTGGGGTTGTAAATTGGATGAGGCAGGGTCTTAGGGAATCACCTGGGTGGAGCAAACAGAAATAGCTGCCAGTCAGCCATACACCAGGGAGGTCCCACCTAAGAACAATGATCCCTGTGAGTACCTCCATCTGAGAGAAAGCCACCGCCACGTTCCTGCCCTGATTCCAGATAATTCAGTTCCTCCTCATATGTATCTGTGTCCCCCAGAGCCTCACCCTGTTGCTAGAGCTAACAGGAAGCAGAATCTTGTAAGTTCAGTTCATGGTGCCGGCCTTTTAAGAGGAACAGCTGGGTCTACAGCAGCATCTGTGTCACTGAGCCCCAATCTGTACTGTTTTTTATAGCCTGTAGTTCTTACTGCCCATAGGAACTTCTCTTCCCAGCTCTGGGACCCTGGGATGGGGGTCTGGTGTGAAGCTGGGACCCCTTGCTCCTCTGGGGAGCCTCCACAGAGACAATCTCCCTCCAGATTAAAAATGCAGCACACCTCCACACTTCCACACCTCCTACCGGTCTCAGTGCACTTTCTTATTTACCTCTCTAGTTGTAGGACTTCCATTCAGCCAGCTTTCCAGCGGTTCTGGATGATGATTATTCTGTGTTTTAGCTGTAATTTTGATGTGGTTGTGGGTGGCAGCGAGTACAAGCATTTACCTATACCACCATCTTCAAATCTCTCATGAGTTTTTTATATGTCCAGCATATAAATCCCTTATCACATATGTGATTTACAATTTTTTTTATATTATGTGAGTGTGGTTTTTACTTCCTTAATTATATAGTTTGGATCAAAAGTTTTTTATTTTGATTTATCTATTTTTCCTTTTATCGGTTGTGGTTTTGTTGTGTATGAGAAAGGTTTTGCCTAATCCATTTGTGAGATTTTAATTCTATTTTATTACTAAGAAGTTGCAGCTAGATACTAGCCTTCTTTAACCCTTCCTGACTCAATTTTCCAATGATTTTTATTGAGTTTGTTGAGGGAGAATTATCTGCACGCACTAGTCTAAACTAAGAAAAGAAATATAAACCATCCTGCAGTTTGATATGAAGAGGTGTTGAGGTAGTGACAATGAATATAAATTCTCATTTTCTATTGAGCACTCTTTTTCTTAAAGTATGTTTTCATTGATTTTAGAGAGAGAAAAAGGGAGAGGGAGAGGGAGAGGGAGAGGGAGAGGGAGAGGGAGAGGGAGATAGAAACATCAACTAGAGAGAAACATCATAAATCAGGTACCTCCTGAACGTCCCTTCCTGGGGATCAAGCCCGCAACCCAGCATGTGCCCTGACCCAGGAATCAAACTGGGGTCTTCTTGGCTCCTGGGTTGATGCTCAACCACTGAGCCATGCCAGCTGGGCTGTTGAGCAGAGCACTCTGTCATTGCCACAGAGTTTTTATTTCTTATACTAGAGGCCCAGTGCACAAAAATTTGTGCACTTGTGTGTGGGGTCCCTCAGCCCGGCATGTACCCACTCGCAGTCTGGGACCTCTCGGGGGATGTTCGCCTGCTGGCTTAGGCCCGCTCCCCAGGGGACCAGGCCTAAGCTGGCAGTCAGACATCCCTCTGGCAGCCTGGGAGCCCTTGGGGGATTTCCACTTGCCAGCGGGGAGCAGGCCTAAGCTGCAGTCGGACATCCTTAGCACTGCTGAGGAGGCGGGAGAGGCTCCTGCCACCACCGCTGTACTAGCAGCCGTCAGCCTGGCTTGTGGCTGAGCAGAGCTCCCCCTGTGGGAGCGCACTGACCACCAGGGGGCATCTCCTACATTGAGCATCTGCCCCCTGGTGGTCAATGTGTGTCATAGTGACCAGTCATTCCCAGTTGTTCTGCTGTTAGGGTCTGATCCAGTGTCCCGGATCAGAGTGGGTATTCTGCTGGGGTACCTGGCCAGCCTGGGTGAGGGGCTGAGGGCCGTTTTCAGGCTGGCCACACCCCCTTCAGGGTGGGGGTCCCCACTGGGGTGCCTGGCCAGCCTGGGTGAGGGGCTGAGGGCTGTTTGCAAGCTTGTCAAGCCCCCCCAGTGGGGACCCTCACCCTATGGGGGTGTGGCCAGTCTGGGTGAGGGGCTGAGGGCCGTTTTCAGGCTGACCACGGCTGGGCTAGAAGAAGTATCTGGGATTTATTTAACTTCTATAATTGAAACTTTGTTGCCTTGGTCCCACTCAAAGCCTGGGTTGCCCCTAGCAACCCATGTTCCCAGCCCCTCCTTGAGCGGAGGCCAGGGAAGCTGGAAGCAGGTATCTGGGGTTTATTTATCTTCTATAATTGAAACTTAGTTGCCTTTAGCTGAGCTCAGGGCTGGCCAGGGCAGACAGGAAACTTAGCTTCCTCCATCACCGGGGCAACCTCAGCCTCCTGCTTGCTCCAGCTCCATGGCCACCACCATCATTGTGATGGAGTGAGGGCTAATTTGCATATTACTCTTTTATTAGATAGGATAGAATAAGAAATGTGCTTCAAAATAATAAAATTTAACATTAAGTGCCAGATAGTGTACCTGTCTCATCTCGTGTGCACTCCTAGTCACTCCATCAGGCAGCTATTATTAACCTCCCCTTCTCATATGAGGACACCTTGAAAGGTGAGTAATTGGTCACCTGGCTGATGTAGAGCTAGGAGTGAATCCACAGGATTCATCTCGGCACCCTTTCATAAACTCTGTTGTGCTGCTTTTTGGAACAAATAGACCTTAATAACAAAATCTTTTACACGGAACATTCAGGCTTGCCATGAAGTTTCTCAAAACTGGGTTTTCACATGTATTCATGGAGCTTGTTCTTCAGCTTATTGCTTTTTTTTTTTTTAGTGCTATGTTAAGTTTACAGAGAACTAGAACTTTCTTTCTTTGAATCACTGCTCATGGAATCCAGTAGAGTCATACCTCCTCTTTTTCCTCCTCATTATAGAGACCATCTGCCCAGGGTGCCAGGACCTCCTGGTTTATACCGGGTCTGGCATGTATGGGTAGCTTTTCTTACTCTCAGAAGGGCCCTGGTTCAGATGAAGGTCACATGGTTGCCTGAGAAGTTTGTCACTGAAATGCCAAGGGGCCTATGGTGGCTGCCCACTAGGTGTCAGCAGTGTAACCCCCGGCGAGCACTCAGGGAAGTCCAATCAGGGAGAACAATTAGTGGATCCAGAGCTACCTGCAGCTTCACCACTCAGCACAGCGACAGAGAGAGCCAGGAGGAGAGAAGGGGCAGGTGCGAGGCAGCAGCCCTCGCTGGGAGCGGGGAGAGGAGGACCCCTCCCGGCAGGACTCCAGCGATGTCTGGAAGGAGCCTGAGGCATCCTTGTCAATTTTCATTCACAGGACCAAGCCCGTGTGCCGTGCCATGCAGTGAGAAACAGCTTTGCGCGAAGAGGGATTTTCCCTTCCCAGATGCGCTCCTCACCAGCCAGGTAAAGTCACACAGGTGCTCCCAGGGAACAGAGCTGCTGAACCACTGTGTGCGAGCAGAAGCGAGCTGCCTGAACAGAATCTCATCGAGGCCATTTGAGAGCATCTGCACTCGGGACTCGAGGCCGTGGACTGTGCTCGTGTCCTGCTGACCGGCGGACCCCTGTGCTCAGGACCCTTGAGGCAGGGCCCAGTGCGAGGGGCGGGAGGAGGCCCAGCATGGGCTTCCAGGCACCGGGGCCGCTTAGTCCTTGGCAGTGGCTGCTGCTGCTAGTGGCCCTCAAGGGTTCCAAAGCAACGTCTGATTTGAACAAACCCACGGATTCCACGGCCCAGCAGGAGCCTGGGGCTGGGTTTGCTGCTTCGGGCCCGGCTCTGGGTGAGATCACTGTCTTTGCTCTGGACTATGACTACGTGCAAGTCCCCTATGAAGTCACCCTCTGGATCCTTCTAGCTTCCCTCGCAAAAATAGGTGAGTCCCCCCACCTGGGCTGTGCACGTCTCCCACATGAGAGGCTGAGTGTGGCCGCGCCTGGGATGGGCGCCCAGTGTACTGCGGTGCTGTCACGTCAGCTCTGCCCTCGATTCCAGGGGGGGCACCAGCTCCGTGCAGCCGTTGGGGCTCAGGCCTGTGTGTTGGCATGTCAAGTGTACCTTCGGTCCTGGGTTGTTTTGATTTCTCCTCATTTCTGTGTGACAACCATGTGACATTAGTTGGTGTGCAGCAACCTCAAGGTTCTGTGCTTTAAAAATCACTGCAGAGTGAGGCACGCAGACCTCAGGACGATGGCCAATGGGAATTCACGAATCACATAAAGATTCTCTGTAAAACATTCTCCCTTCATTCTTGGTCATGTAGCCAGGGGCTTCAGCAGCGGCTCCCACTGTTAATTCTGTAAACTGGCAGAGAGCAACTCTTAGGTGCCTCGGTGATGGGAATAGGGACACAGGAGATTAGGTCTGTAGGTAGAATATAGATCTACACAGGAGCCTAATGCAGCCAGTGGGGCACCCATGCTTTCCTTTGTGAAATAAAGTGAATTCAAGTTGATGGATTAAATGCTAATCAAGGTTCTTTGTGCCAAACCCAATGTGATGATTTACACTCTGTGACCATTTAATTCCAAATGCCACCCCCTTTCTCCTTCAAACCTGCTACTGAGAGCCAAGGCCAGGTGGCTCAGTTGGTTGAAGCGTCATCCCAGCACCAAAAGGTTGTGGGTTCGATTCTGGTCAGAGCACATACCTAGGCTGAAGGTTCTATCTCCAATCAAGTCGAGTATGGGAGACAACTGATCACTGTTTCTCTGCCACATCTCTCTCTCTCTACAATCTGCGTCTTTCTCTCACTTCCTCTCTCTCTCAA